AAGGGAAGAGATCTTAAGGGTGTGAGGCTTAGGAGAGGAAAGGGGAGAAGATATCTTGAGCTACCACAAAGGAGGAGAGAATAGCTATAGAGTTAGAGGAGGAGAGCATCTTGAGGCCTTGTATCAAGGTGTCGCTTGAGAGGGAGGCCATCGAAGGAAGATGAGGGCTCATCTTTATGTATAAGCTATGTATTCTCCATTTCTTTTGCCTTAGTGAAATATTTGATTGATTCCCTCCCGTGGACGTAGATCCAGTTGGATCGAACCACGTAAACGATCTGTGTTTGCTTGTGTTCTTTTTCGTCTCATTTCTATGCCAGGAAATACATATCTCACAACAATTGATCGATTCATAGTTTTTTTTTGTTTTATGGAAGCTAAATATACACCAATGGAATGCAACATGGAAAGCATTAATATAACAATCAGCACAATTTAAATATCATATTTTTTCAATGTTAGGATTGATCAACCTTCTAATGTGAATAAAAAAAATATTATGAGCGTATATACATAGCAACGATCATCATTAAGATTCCACAATAATGCAATATATAAGACAATACACAAGAGCCTATGATGTTAGTAAATGATTGAAATGAGTGAGAATTTAGTAATTTGGAAAAATAAAAAATAATGAATTCAACAACACAAATTATTGTAATTATTTAACTAACACCTATAGTTATGTCAGTGCACAAAATTAAACACAAAAAGATGATGAGATAATTTATTCATTCAATTGTTTGGGCTTTCGATTATAAGCATAATTAAGAGTAAATCATGTTTGTGCAAAGGTACCATAATAAAAATAGCATTGACACTTAAAATGTCTACAACAAACAATTACGTATAAAGAAACTGAAGAACGTTCCAAGCCCTTCACGCCTGGCAATATTTAAACTACGTTTCTATTTGTCAAACTTGCCACGACAAGCTCAACACCTTAACTTTTTTATAAACGGCTAGAGCATCCCAATGCTCAACTGTTTTAGACATAAGGGCTTTTTTAGGGTTTTTTTAATCAAGTTTGTATTTTATTTTTTTAACTCTTCTATCAGCACCTTTACATATTTTTATTTTTATATTTTCCTTTTTGTAAACATGTTCATTTAGAGTGTTCACACTTAATGGCACTGTGAGGGACCAATTATTGAACCTAGGCCAACTAGAAGGAAACAATAATTTATGAGAGACTCAAATTACATAATTTATTCAAAACTAAGTTGAACTATCAACTTTGATACCACTTATTAAAGTATGGCATTAAAAGAGGAATGGAGTTTGGCTTTAAATACCGATGATCAAATCTAATTTCCACAAAAAAAAAAAAAAAAAAAGAGAGAGAAGAGAAAAAATCAAATCTAATTTCCACAAAAAAAAAAAAAAGAGAGAGAAGAGAAAATGAACTAATACTCTAAGGTCTACAGTAAAATTGTTTAGGAACTGAAAGGCTTTGAGAAACCAAACCACTCTTCCATGAGTCAGCAGTCAGCAGGTTTACAAGGAGGTCATTTGGTCATTAATTATTTTTTTTTAAATTATCAGCAATTTAAATGAAACGCAATAGATTTAAGGCCCCATTTGGAATCACTATTATTTTTTGTTTTCTTTTTTTTTGTTTTGTTAAGTTTATGTTTTGGTTTGAATTAAAGTTTATTTGGTTTTGTTTTGGTTGTTTTTAAAAACAAAAAATAAAAGCATATAATAAAAAATATATTAACCAAACATCCTTTTAAAAACAAAAGTTAAAATGAAAACATAAATAAAAAATAAAAGTGATGTCAAACAGACGTAAGGGATTTAATGAGAAATGGAAAACAAAGACAGAATTCTAATTTGGCGCAAACCTTTGAATCTAAAATGACCATCCGATCAGTTATAAATTTTATTGATACTAATAAAAAGCTATACTCACTTATTTGAAAGAATGATACTTTTATCATAGTCTTTCTTTCTTTTCCTCAAAACCCGAGAACTTTCTTTATTTGCCGGAGTGGCAAGCATAAATTTAGGAGATGCTGTCCCGAAAAAAAAAAAAAAAAAAAAAAAAAAAAAAATAAAACAAAAAAAAACAAAAGATCAATCCACTCTGCATTGAATATCATCCTATGACAAAAAACAAATTAAACTTACAAATTTCAACACATTCATGCATGCAAATAATTCCATTTGAACAGTACCTGAGATGTTTGGTTTTTGTTTATCTGGAGGCAAAGCATCAGCATGCCTTTTACCGATATTATCGTTCCCACTTTCAGGTGTCAGTTCTCCCTGTAAATTGATTGTTTCTGTTGGATTTCTTCTTCCTTCAACAAGATGGTTCTTATCTCCAACTGACAGCTCAGTTTGTTCATTATTTAACGGTATATGGATCTCTTCAGTTACATTAAGTAAAGGCAAACTCCCGGATAAACATACTTGCTTCTTAAAATCTCCTCCATGGGGACATTCGACAGAAGATATCGGAACACTAGCATACTTGTTTGAATTATGAGTTTCACAGAGCACAAAATCAACATCCATCATGCTGGATATCATTTCTCCCTCTAAGTTCAATATCTCTGTTATAGGTTTTTGCTCTTCTACAGATAGGATCTCATCTCTAACTGAAGGCACTGTCTGTTGATGCTTTAATTGAATATGGCCCTCTTCTATCTTATCATTTAAAGGCATGCGTCCAGTTAAGCATACTTCCTTCTCGATGTCTCCTCCAGGGTGAAATTGCTCCAGAGATCTCTGAACGTTAGAAAAGTTGCTTGATTCATGATGAACATCACTAAGCTCGAGATCAACATCCAATGTACAAGATGGAAGGATGCTATGACAGAAGCTTCGCAACTTAGTAAACTCAGTGAAAGCATTTATCATTCCCTATGATGTTTATAGGAAAAATAAAAAAATAAAAAAGGGTTTTCAACTACATACTCGGCAAGAGGTGTAAAACGAGAAGACTTATAATCTGAAAGATCGGAAACCTCATTGGTGAGACACTACATTTTGCATAACTCCCATCATTAGACTGAACATACTATATGCGAGTAATATTAGCATACAAAAAACATCTTATATGAGAATACAAATAAAAAACAGAGTGAGATACCTCATCCAAATATGAAGGCTGGTGGGTCCTGTTGTCCTGCCATTCACCTGTAAAGCCAACGTAAAGATGCTATTCATATCAGCAAATGGATACAAGAATGGGTATTTAACAACAAGGGTGTTTTATTTGACAATCCCAAACATGGTTAAAAAAGTGAGTATTTACATACAGAACACCCAATTCTTATATATCCTTCCATGTCTAACACCTAATTTTGCTTATTACATTTAATCCACACTAATCTTTCATATCACATTAAAATACAATACACATTTTTATATATAGATAAGATGCCATATATGTAAAAATTGAAGTTTAGGTTAGATATGAAATACACAAGAATTGAGTGGATGTATGTAAATCTTCCAAAAAGTAAATGTTATTAACGTAACTAATTGATATTAGCATTAAAACTAAAAAAAGAATAGGTAAAGTATGATTCTATTAACAATTAAGAATCACACATACAGGATATATGATATCAAACAAACTACGAGGCTGTTCCCAAATAAGTACCTAGAGGAGTAGGATGCTGACGACTTCCGCCGATATCTCTGCATGAAATATAAATGATTTGAATAAACGATTAACAAAAATTAATTAAATTTGAGTCCTATAAGATTTTTCAATCTCACCCCTCTTCCAAAACCCCAAAATCAAATGAACCAAGTTCAAATTGCTCAGGAAGAGGAACAGAAACCTCATGGTATGATGCAAGCATCGTTTCAATCTGTTTTTCACAGCTATGCTCCTTCATTGTCATAGCTATATGATCTATGGCAGACTTTACCTCTTTACTGCACCTGTTACCCTTTCTTGGTCTAGCACTAACTTTGTTCTGTGCATTATTCCCTTCAGCGACAAGAAGAGACTTTCTTATTTGATTTAATGTCTCGTTGCACTCATCATAGAGAAAATCCACTTTCTTTGAGAAAATTTTGACAATACCAAGAAGAAGTTGAGCCAATACTCTATGAGAAATTTGAATTTCGGGCATGATTTTATCTGTGAGAATGATTAAACAAAGGACCGAAATGAGTTTTTTAGAAGAGCAGCTAGGTGAATAAAAGTAACCACAGTTAAATGCTTTCAAATTTATGTTTTGAAGGATTACAAACTCATCTTGCTAACACTCTGTCAAAACTAATTAATTTAATAAGGATCTTTAAAGATAGTACATAACTGCACGCTTAAATAAACTCAAAATCTATTTGTTTCATCAAAACAAATAACTAACTTAAAATTAAGTTTATTCAATTCAAATTTGACTCTAAATATAGATCAATACCATATAGATAGCCACAAAGATGCGATCTTGCAACGAACTTTATTATTTATAGATATATTTCAGCTATACAAAACTCTAGTCAGAACCTTTTTGAATAAAAAAATAACTATATATTAACTCATCTGAAGGGATTGGGAAAGATTCCTATCTATCACACGTGTTGCAATTGCATATACTAAGTTTACATAGCAAAAGCCCTGATCAAACAATCCACCAAGGCAAGCCATGGTTGACCAAAGCACCAAGATGAGCCCTGGAGCAATGCAAGACTTAATAATGATGGACAAAGGCAAGCCTTCATTGACATACCTAGCACACAATTCTTGTGCATTTATCTATCTAGCACCTAAACATTCATATTTACATGCATACCACACAAAACTTTAACATCACAACAAAAATATCACCATAACATCTTTTTAAAAGTGAAATATACCTTTTCATGCAAAGGTTTATGACACCAAGGTTTTATAAGTGCAAATATCAAAATTTAGGTGTAAGAAATGTAAATACATAAGAATTGCGTGTCATGTAAGTAAATTTCCCTAAATTTTTTTATCAACAAGGCAGTAAGTTGGTCGAATAAAACCTACCCACCCCAAACATTGCCTGGCTTGAATAACCTCGAAATATAGCTCTACATCCACACGTGTGCCCACAGATTCAGTTTTTGTGAATACGACAACAAAGTCCTTCGATATATCATTCTTTTCCACAGGCAAAAAGTGCATTAATGGATCTAACAAGCATCACAAACTAAAACTCAACATGTCTTTTTGGGCAAGAATCAATTGACAATAGACTCTAAAAAGCTTACTACACATTTAATAATGAATAAAAACTCCCAAATTCACCACATTGCAACTGCTCTTAACAGCCTCTGCTACATGTCTTTTTGGGCAAGAATGAATTGACAATATCAAAAAAACTTACTACACATTTAATAATGAATAAAAGCTCCGAAATTCACCACATTGCAACTGCTCTTAACAGCCTCTCCATGAAAAGCTTGGTAGAGATAACTTCTTTATTTCAACAAATAAAAGAAGATAGATAAAATGTCATGGTCATCTCAGGTCACTGTCTTCATCTATCGGCATCCCACCTCCATTTTAAACCATACTTGAAACCCAAAGGAAGAAACTAACCATTCTTAACCCCTCTAAAGTGCTACGCAGCAACCAAAGAAAAGAAAAGGGGGAATGAAAGAGATGCGGCCAATACCTACTGTGGAGGAAATGTCGGTAGAAGCAATCTGTCCTCTTTTGAGCTTCTTGAAGCAATATGCGGCAATCCAAATGGTGCCCAGGGGTCCTTTTCTTGATAGAAGAGAGAGTGAGTAGAACATGGCTGTTTCTTCTTCCTTCTCCTTATTCTTCTTCTCCAATGGCGCTCCACGGAGAGAAGCCGTGGTGTTATATTCGGGAGTCTGTCGCGAGGGCTGGGAGCTTCCAGTGGAAGAATCACAGGCGTACGGGGGAAGACAGAGAAGAGGTAAAAATCTGTAAAGCTTAAAATATGCAAAATACAAAGCGACGGGTTTTATAAAATTACCGAACAGCCCTTTCCTTACGCTGCTCTAAATTGCCGAACGGGCGTGGTTGCTGCCTTCTGGGCATGTTATTAAATTTCTTGAAGATTCTAAAGAATCACAAGAATACCCTTTTAAATACTATTATTATTATTATTATCATTATTATGAGGGTACATATCACCCAAGTTTTATGTATTTATGGTCTAAATTTTTCAGATAACATTAAAAATAATATATTTTAATTTTTATAAGATATAATTCACCTTGTTTTCATGCATAAATAAGATGATATATATGTAAATTTTTTTTATTATTGTTAATATTATAATTATTATCATCATCATCATTGGTAAATAGTTTTTATTTTTAATACCACTCTTTTTTATTTTGCATTCAAAGTCTTTGCTCTACAGTCTTCAAGGATCAAATTAGTATATTTCTAATACATTCTTGTGCTACTGATAAGTTAATTTTTATATCAAATTTTAATATATA